TGTATAGACGTGAAGAAGGATCTGGTATAAAGAGAATTAAGATATGGTTGAAATGTAATTTAAACCATATACCACTAAAAAGTAGGCATCTTAGAAATATAGCATCATATCTAACATTTTTACCGTGGTTTGCAAATAGTATTTAGCATTTTTGGCAAATTCAAATGTTTTCTCTTAAAATATGTAGAGCAGGATTAGGCAAAGCCGGTCCTCGAATGCTACTGTCCTGCAGCTTTTGCAGCCCTGATCAAACACTTCTGAGACAAAAGGCCAAAAAATGCCTTCTTGGAATCTCAGTAAGTTTAGCAACCTCTGGCTTATAACCATTCATGCTTCAGGTGTGTTGAAGAAGGGATGAATGCAAACACTGCAGGAAAGTGGCAATCGAGGACCAACACTGCCAACCCCTGGTCTAGTGTGTTGTTCTAACACAGGCATCCCCAAAGCCGGTCCTCAAAGGCCACTGTCCTGCAGGTTTTAGAGGTTTCCCTGCTTTAACAAAGCTGATTATGATGATTGCAGTTGAACAAAAGCCTGTTAAACAGCTGTCAATTAAAATCAGCTATGCTGAAGCAAGGAAAACTATGAAACCTACAGGACAGTGCCCCTTGAGGTCCAAATTTAAGGATGCCTGTTCTGACAGGTTGCATAGGTCATTATTTTTGCTGTTAAGAATTTATACTTTATGAATAAACTGAACTGAATTGCTAGAAGGTGAACCTCCATTCCGGCTTATATCACAAGCAGACAGACAAAGGTTTCCCCCAGTATCCCTGTATTTAGTGCCATAACTCTTTCATTCAACTGGGAACTGTTTCATAGGGCCATCTGCTGAGAAACATCCCTATAGAATGATGCTGGCATAGCCATGTTTCACTGATAGAGCTTTTTCCTTTTGGGCTGCAAAGTTCAACTTAAATCTATTCTGATCAGAGAAACTCCCTTCACACATATTGGATATTTCCCACATGCCTTTAGTAAACTCAAAATGACTCTACTTGTCTCTAATGCTTATTACTTTTTTGGCCTCTCTAAAACACTGAATAACCGAACAGTGTGGATTGTTTTACAATACTGCAGCACTGAGCTGGTATTTCACAGTACCAAAAGTATTTTGTTTTTTTTTTCTCTCATTGTACCTGTTGGCTGGTCTGAGGCCTCAGAGCTCTCTCTAGGCAGCTTCTCCACCAGGAACATGAGCAGTGAACGAATCTCTGGTTCATTACTGTATAGAAAGGTCTGATAGCCAATCTCTCCCTTATAGCCAATGTCCTAGAAAGACAAAGGTAAGAAATATTAGCACAGCATAGCACACGAAATATGGGTGGACATTGTTTAAAATGTACAAAAAGGGCATGGATGTATGGTAGTTGCCTAACATTATAACAATGCAAGGTCCTTGGGGATTGAAGTGTGACCCTAACATTTACATTTAGATTAAAATGTGCACACCTTTAATACAAATTTTTTTTAAGCTCTAAATATTAATGATTACAGCAATAACTGTCAATACTTTGTAAGGAACAGATGATTTCTAAGAACCTACAAATCATAAGATCAAAACAAGTGAAAACAGAAACTTTCAGAGATCAGATATATGAAGTGATGCCAGCTAAAGCGACTGATTGGCGCTGGCTTCCACGTCTATATATGATGTTATTGTTCTGGAGCTCGTTCGCCTGGCTGTGTGTTTACTGGACGGAGCCGCTGGAGGAGCTGGTTGACAGTTGTCTTTTTTACCTCTGCTTCTTTTTCTGTCTGCTTGAACCCAGTTGGCCTCGGCAGATGGCCGCACCACTGAGACAGGTTTCTTCCTGTTAAAAGGGAGTTTTTCTCTCCAATGTCACTATAAACATGCTTGGAGTGATTGCCTTAGAGTCAATGCAATTAGGTGGTTTTCCGTAGATAGAAAACTTTCAACCAATCTGACTGTATGAGCTGGTTGACTCGTCTCTGTAAAGTGCCTTGAGATGATGCGTGTTGTGGATTGTTGCTATATAAATAAACTGACTTGAATTATCTGGAGATGCTGAAACCTCCATCAAAAATGCTATTGGTGAGTTCTGGATGGAGCATTTTTAAAGAGGAAGGTTGTTGGGCCACCTTTTACAGTTGCTTTTTGTATCTCTACTTCTGTCTCTTGAACCCCAGTCTGCCTCGGCAGGTGGCCGCTTACACTGGTTCTGCTGGAGGTTTCTTCCTGTTGAAAGGGACTTTTTCATCTCCACTGTCACTACAAGCATTCTTAGTGTGAGGGATTGCATCCGAGTCAATGAGTCGATGCAATTGATTGGTTTTCCTTAGATAGAAAACTTTGACTGTATGATCTGGTGAACTGTAAAGTGCCTTGAGATGACATATGTTGTGAAGTGGCTCAATATAAATAAACTGAATTGAATTGTTATTTCCTTTATCTTGAAATCAAGATTAGGGATGGGAATCGAAAACCGGTTCCTGTTCAGAACCGGTTCTGTATTTTCCGATTCCATGGCATCGTTTGGCAGCTCGCTGAATGATTCTTTTTTCGATTCCCGCAGCACCAGAGCCTAAAGCGCCGGCTCTGGGGAGCACGACTTACGTCCCGTTTTTTACGCAAGTTACGCATTATCAATTCCCGCAGCACCAGA